CTCTTCCGATCCCGCTGCCAGTCTCATCCTCTTATCTCTCCCTCGTGCCTCAGGAGATGAAAGAAAACGTTTTTCTCCCTGAGTCTGGCCTTCATGATTCCATTCCATCACAGTGCCTAATGTAAAAGAAAACGTTTTTCTCCCTGAGTCTGGCCTTCATGATTCCATTCCATCACAGTGCCTAATGTAATTAATGCTGTTCCATCACTGGCGTAGAAACATCTGGTCAGGTGGGTATAAGTGGAAAGAGAGGTAATCTTTTTAACCTCGTCTCAGGCAACAAACAGTGTGTGTGCCTATTAATATATTTAGTTTATTGTAAGCGATTTAGTCACTAATCTATTTAATTTGACTTGGGGAAAAAATTAGGACTTTCTTCTTGGTAAGCATGTGTCAATCAGTCAGCCAGTTTATTATAGTCTTAGACCAGTACGAGCAATGTGTCCATGAGTGCTCTGTGAGTATTTATAAATCTATCTTAATAGATAGTAAATAAAATTTAAGATAAAGTTAAAATACATATATAAAACAACCTGACTAGAATCCATGAGTGAGGTCCAAAAGGAGCAATCTATGTCTAGGTTATACCAGTAGTCTCTAAAATTATATGAAACGTGATAACATCTAAAATTGCAAAAATCTGATAGTATCTAAAATTTACATTTACGCACATCTACAACTGGATAAAAGTTGAAACAAGAGTGTGTTTTGCTTCTATAAACCCTTGGTTAAAGCTTAACTTTTATCCTCAAGGCCTAGCACCATTAATTCTCCAGGATAATCTACCTGGATTAAGGCTGTTGAATCTAAACTTCTAAATCTGGGCATTGAGCAAGACAGCATCAATTGTCCATGTTTCTTGCATGAGGATTATATCCTTGCTATGTATTGTCAAGATTTTCTTTATCATGAAAAAAGATTCATTCGTTATCTTTACAACAGTAACAAATAATATTTTGACTACAGAGATCATGTGAAAAACACCTGTTATTGTGTTATATATTGTGCTATTTACTGCCACCTATTGGCGTGTATATGCTAGGCACCCAGTGGGGGTGGCATAGAGCTATAATAAAAGGAGAAAAAAATGTTCAGCCTCTCTGAATAGTTATTAGTTGTTTTAGTGTTAGCCACTATATAGATTTTATGGGCTACATAGTTGTAACAAAGTACCAAGTAGTGTACCTCTTCTCTAAGAGTTTGTAGCTAGAGATTTTGTTAAGCTTGTGTTACTAATAAGTCTTATATGCTACAATATAAAAAAATATGTGTTTTTCTTTATATTTTATATGATATTTACATTTTATGGACTTTTGCATTTTTATCAATAAACACCAGTTAGTATATATTTTCT